CTGAATTTGAAATTTACAATTGGTGGATACGAAATAGACAGATTATTTGACAGGTTGATACTTTAATTCCGTATTTTTGTTGAAACATATTTAAAAATCTTTAACAAAACAAACGTTTCGACCTCTTTTATTGAGGTCTTCTTCAGTGTACGTAATAAAATGTATATAAAAATAGTTAAAATTCTGCTACATATCTCGTTGTCCACTGTGCAGCTTTAAAATTTTAGTATGATTGCTTGGACCTTTTCTTTATTGTTAAGCGTCTATTTTTCTTTTACACGATCTATTTTCTCTCTCTCTCTCTCTCCAAGAATAGAATCGAACCAAGATATACTTATTCGTACGAAAATTGAAGATAAAAAATTAAAAACATACTTAAAATATTTATAATCATAAGGTTTCTTTATATTATATATTTATCTATCGACGGATCAAGTCAAGCAGTTTGATATTAGAAAGAGAATTGTACATCGACAGAGTTATTGTTTAGTCATTTTTTATAATTTGATAATTTGCTTGCCGTTTTTTTTTAATACCCGCAGTTGGTATAGAAGAGAATACAATAATGAAAAATATAATAAAAATGACTTGATGAGTCTAGAGGAAATTTCAAAGAGCAGTTGCTGCCCAAAAAAGAATCAGAACAAAAATTTTTCAAAGAGCAAGTAAGAAAATTACTAAAGAGGAGAAGGAAGAAAGTATAATAGTTATCCCTCAGCGATATTTCTTAATGGAAAAATTAAGAACACGTTTAGCTAAATTTAACATTAAAATCTATACTACTTTAAATCGTAGTATAGGATCGATGCTGCATAAAGCAAAGAAAATCGCACAGAAAGATTGCGTTGCATATCAAAAGAAAGAGTGTATATGTGGTCAAGACAGTGTATATGGTCTTCCATGTTCATGTGGTGATATTTATGTTGGCGAGACTTGCTCTTTTAAAAGACGAGTAAAAGAGCATATGCGGAAAGTTAAACAGAGAGATGTCAAAGAATCAGAGCTAGCTCAACAAGCAGAGGATTCGGGTTGTTTTGTAAATTTCGATGAAAGCGTTATATTTGATGAAGAAAAGCACTGGGAAAGAAGAAAGCAACTGGAAACCGTATATACTATTGCCAATAAGGATTACAATAAATGTAAAGGGATAAGCCCGCAGCGGAAGTCTACTATTAAGAAGTGGGTTCATCCCAGAACGGGAAAGAACTTTCATCCGACAGTAGACGAACAAGTCGTTAAGTCTGTACAAACTACAAGTAGCACTACCACTAGTCACAACACAACGTACCGATATCAGAATACGGGCTATAGTTTACGCGAACAAAAGAGAAAAAAGTATAAAGAATGACTAAACAATAACTCTATCTGTGTACAATTCTCTATCTAATATCAGACTGCCTGACTTGATCCGTCGATAGATAAATATATAATATAAAGAAACCTTGTGATTATAAATATTTTAAGTATGTTTTTAATCTTGTATCTGGGTGTTTCCACGAAGTCCGTATCATATTTACATTGACTTTGTTCGCATAAGCTGGAACCGTTTTTAAATGAATGACCCATGAGTAGGGTTAGCGTAAATCGAGTTAAAAAAGTTCGGAAATATCGGCATCATTGAACGCCAAATCTCGACATTTGCGTTTTTTTGCGTTTTGAGGACACAGTAACACTAAACGTTTGCCTATGTAAACCAGTAGCGAACCTTGAATTTTATATGGAATATATAGTAAAAAGATAGAGCTTTCTCGTGGTATAGTCAAGAAAATTTCAAAATGTTTTTGAGTTTTTGAGAAGGATTTCCAAAAATCCGATTTGGGCCTATCTTGCGATAGGCAGATTTTCAGCAAAGCAAAATGGAAAATCACTTTTAAATAGTGCATTCGACTCGGCTTTGCATTATCTATCGAATCGTAAAACAAAAGCTTTCATAGCTTTTAAACTAAAATCGAAAAATTCGAGATAGCGATGGGAATTTTTGAGTTTCTGCCTGTGTTACGCTCGTTTTTCTTTATAATCTCGAATTCCCGAGATCGCTTTAATATATTTTTGGTACTGATTCGACAGGGGCTTTCAGGTCACACAAGATACGATTTGTCCCAACTCAATACCTTGTAACTATAAACCTCATAAAATTTGCGTTTTCTGGTTTCTGATGACTTCATCCTTTCAGCTTGTTTTAGAGGGGCTACCCCATCTAACATACCCTCAAACTTTGTCGGTTTTTAGAGGACACCTTCAAGGGTATACATGTGCAAATAACTCACGGGTTGGATAAGTTTTGGCAGAGAAATGAAATTTTTAAAAATTGAAAAAAATCGATTTTTTCTAGCTATTTTTCACCTAGTGCAAAAAGTATTTCTTGCGCAGTCGTCCGCATCAGTGAAGTTGGAACGTTTATATCAACGCAAAAGTTGTTCATTGCACTCATGTCTACAGGATGACATAATTTCGTTTAGTGTAAAGTGCGCAGATACCAAGTTTCAGGTAATAAACTAGGTCCGAGTCTCTCATTTTTTGAATTCTGCTGGTAATGCTCAGTTTTCTCAATAGGAACTCAATTTTTAAGCAATAAAAATATCATATTCGGAATTAGGATCTTTAATTTTTGTCGAATTTTCACGTTGAACAATTACCGAGATTTTTACCCAAAACTGAAAATCAACTAAAACTTTCGAAATAGCCAAGGCCCAAAACGGGTTTTTGGAAATCCTTCTCAAAAACTCAAAAACATTTTGAAATTTTCTTGACTATACCACGAGAAAGCTCTATCTTTTTACTATATATTCCATATAAAATTCAAGGTTCGCTACTGGTTTACATAGGCAAACGTTTAGTGTTACTGTGTCCTCAAAACGCAAAAAAACGCAAATGTCGAGATTTGGCGTTCAATGATGCCGATATTTCCGAACTTTTTTAACTCGATTTACGCTAACCCTACTCATGGGTCATTCATTTAAAAACGGTTCCAGCTTATGCGAACAAAGTCAATGTAAATATGGCACGGGCTCCACGGAAACATCCATCTATATGCCGGGATCCCAGGTTTACCAAACCCGAAGTTTGGGTCGAGGAGACATCTCGTCGAATTTAAGAGGTCGGGCTCTATTGCAAAAATCCTTTTTTCAGGAGGCTATTCGTGCATGGAATCTTCTACCTAATGATATACGTTCAATACATAAACTGACTGATTTCAAACTGAGATTAGTCTTACAATATATTCCATCCTTTCGTTTACCATTAATGCATGATCGTCGGTTGGAACATCACACGGGATGTAGAGTTGATAATCCCCAACTAAATGACTACCTCTTCACCAGAGGTGGGTTAGGAAAGTCACCGGCGCGTACATGTGGCTTTAGCAGAGAGACTACTAAACATTTTTTATGGACTGTGCTCTTTATGACAAGTCTCGTAATCTAATGTCTGAGGAGCTGCGTATTGTCCTTAAAGATAATCATATTACAGTGGAGCATATACTCTTGAAACATGAATCTATCCGCGTACTTCATAAACAGGACCTAATACGGGTGTACACAGCCATCATCCACTTTATTGATACCACCAGAGGATTCAATCAGTCATGATGTACTAAGCGTCCATGAGCTGAATGTCACATGGACAGAGCGGATCTTATAAGTCGATTCCCATTTCTCTCGCTTCACCAATACTACTACAACCTCTCTCTCTATATACTCATGTTATTTTATAGTGTTCATATAGAATCCGGCATAGAATGGGGTATCCCGATTTGCCGTATATGTGTTTCTTTTGTTGTCGTACGTTTTTTTACTATTATTTCTTGAATAAAAGATGTTAAAAAGACAACAACAACATCCATCTTCAGTTTTCGTACGAATAAGTATATCTTGGTTCGATTCTATTCTTGGAGAGAGAGAGAGATATAGAGAGAGAGAAAATAGATCGTGTAAAAGAAAAATAGACGCTTAACAATAAAGAAAAGGTCCAAGCAATCATACTAAAATTTTAAAGCTGCACAGTGGACAACGAGATATGTAGCAGAATTTTAACTATTTTTATATACATTTTATTACGTACACTGAAGAAGACCTCAACAAAAGAGGTCGAAACGTTTGTTTTGTTAAATATTTTTAAATATGTTTTAATAAAAATACGGAATTAAAGTATCAACCTATCAAATTACAGAACTGAATTAGTCGTTTTGTTGTGTATTAAGCTCGTATGAAAATCTGAAGTACTAGTAGCTCGTGACTTGTTATTTGACTTATCTTAATGTGGCGGACGGCATAAATTTTGGCATGTTTCCTAGGTACATACTAAGAACATAAGGAGCTTTCTCAGCAGGTGTTGTCAAATGAAGAACTTTCTTTAAAGCAAGCATCATCAGACAGCAGAAAAAAATGCTTTTTTTGTTTTGAAAAGAATCTCATTTTACTTGTTTCTTTGTTAGTTATCATTTCCTCGTGCGCCATCGATGTTTGGGTTGCTACCAGTATCGATGAAACCAATGGATTAGGTGGTATTTGTACTTGGGGCTGAGTAGTAGATCGGACAACCTGTTTAGGGTGAACAATATATCCTGATAAAGTTTGATAATTCTACGTCGGGTTAAGCCTCAAAATTACAAATTTTCTAGTACTACAAAGTACTGCTTGTTTACGTCCCATCGAGTTCTAACTATGAAGCAGAAAGATTAAAAATATATTCTGAGGCGTTTTGATCAAGGGGGAAAAAGCGCACTCCGCCACTCCGTGGAGTGCCGGAGTGGCTCGGAGTACGGCGGGCTTAAGAAATTTTATTGAACTGAACTGTCCCAGAAATCTCTGTTCCTACAAGCAGAACAAAGACGTTCTGTCTGTGGGAAAAGAATTCATAGAACAGAACACAATTGTCCCGTTATCTGGGAAATTTCCCCAAGGGAAGTACCGGATTGTTCTGTTCTGGGAACATAACTGTTCTGTTTCGGGAATCGGATTGTTCCGTTTTGGGGGAAGAATATTGAGAGAAATATCACTATTTTATTTTAAAAGAAAACAACGCACTTCGCCACTCCGGACCATTGTACGGAGTGCCGGAGTGCGGTTTACTCCGCGGAGTGGCTGGAGTGGCGGATTGCGCTTTTCCCCCCTTGGTTTTGATACAATGTTCGTTGCACTCGTAAGCTGATAATGGAAAAGTGGGAGTCGCAGAAAACCTGTCAGGAAGAAGCTGGGTACAAACTGTGGATTTTCTGAATCAACAAAACAGTTTGAGTTTTTGGAGTATTATTATCATGATATCGCATGTCTTCCGCAGTGCAACATCCGATAACTAAAGATCTAGACATCTTGAGTTCATTTGGCAGCTCTTAACAGGACCTTTCTACTGCCAAGATATTCACCTCTTCTGAAATCCGCATGCCTTATACCCAAGATCTTGTAGTTTTCGCATCTTATCATTCAGCGTTTTGCACATCATTCTTCACAACAAAAAAACATTTCGTGTGCAAAACATAGCATGCAATACTGTTCTATTGCATGTAATTATGTATGTAGTTATCCTATTCAGTGGTGTTTATGCCCTTCTAAGTATGTCAAAATCTTGATGCAGACTAGCATTTTCAGAGGAGAAAAGCAACAAAAAAGCAAGAAAACGTACTTTTTTATGTCGTTTACTATTAATATGGTCATTTTTTTGTTTATGACTATTAAAACATTGCTTGCATATATCGCATTTCAGATCGTCTGCTTCATGTAATAAATGATTGTTCCGCTGTCGTCGAATATGTTGTTTTCCATGTAAATGTGTTTCATACGAGGCTGTGCCACGAATTTCAGCTATACCACATATTTCACACATATATGTCTTTAACTTTTTTCTGTTTGTATCCGGTATTGGAGATAATGAGGAACGTTTTGAAGATGATGATAATGTGATATCGTTCAAATCTGAGCCTAATTATAATTAATTATTTCAATACAATTCACAGCGACATAAAGTTTCCTACTTCAAAGGCAGAAATAACGGTTCTTTTGCGGTCAACGTAAGTGTTTTAGAATTTATAAAGCTTTTAAACTCAACATCAGTCATGTAAACTCAAAAAGTAACAGTGTGAGTTTATACATGTGTTACAACAACACGTAGTGTTCCGATAGTTCTTACAAAGGAACCTTGCCAGATGTAACACTCCATTTTCAATGATTGTGCCGATCAATGGAGGACACTGAGCTAGTAAAAGCCCTAAAAGCATTCGGGCTCATGGTACTTCTTTCAAAGTTATGAACTTTTATGTTTGCCTGTGCAAGGGAACCTACTAATAAGAGCTGGGCAACTCAACTCGGAAGCTGGGTTCCTTTTTTGCGGAGGTGAAGTTGAGTTGATGACCGAATTTTTCAACTCTAGCTAAAAAATTCCAGTTAAAATTTCTTCAACTCCGACTACATCAGCACTTGTGGAGAGTGTTTTTTCACAACCAGGCTTTTTGTTTCGATCACATCGAAGTAGCATGACAAAGAATGTGCTTTCGAAATTAACATTGTTAAAATGTAATTTTGATTTATTAATGATTTTGTACGCTATTGTACACTATTATACAAGAAAACATGATCGTTACACGAATGAAGGAAATAGCAGGAAGGAAAAAGAACGAATAGATTTTAATTCGAAGTTGGTATTGGACTTGGAGTTAGATTTCTTAGCAGAGATGGAGGTACACCTAGCCGGAGCTGTCCAGCTCTGCTACTAATACTAAAAATTCCTTAACTTAGTCAAAACAGAGGATTAAGAGCTGAATTTGTTTTCCATCACTATGCTAGATGTCCATTACTATCGCAGAAAGAACAACAGAAAGAATTTTAACTTTGAAAGATGTACCATGAGGCCAAATCCTTTTAGAGCTTTTACTACATATACCATTATTTATTTAACCCAGATCCGTCGTCCTGGAGTCCATGCGGACCCCAGACGAAAACGAGTGCTTTGAAGATATGTCTTACTGCTCTGCCAGATAACTAATGAGTGAATGCAATCAGTTCATGTTGATAGTACACCCTATTTTCATTCAGTGGAATATAAATTGAAGAGGTAAAATCTAACTGTTGTGTTCAGGCAGCATCCAAATGAAACCGGTAGAATTTGGGCATATTATAAGTGGTCGGATCAGGGTTAAAGAGGATTGTACTATAGAAAATACTTTTCCTCATGAGTACTAAACTTGATGTTGCCAGTAAACACGTGCACAAACTAAACACGTAGGCAAAGGCTTTTACCAGCTCACTATCCTCTATCGATCGGCACAATCATTGAAAATGGAGTGTTACATCTGGGGAGGTTCCCTTGTTAGTGTTAGTATTGTTGTGGATCAAGCCAGCAGTTTATGCAAGGCAATTTTCTAGTGATCGTGAAGCAAAGTTGGTCTCCAGTGTTATTATTGAGAATGATGATTCATTTTCATTACGCCCTTGACGTATAATAAACGAATAAATAAATATGCCTGTCTTACCATTTTGTTGATACATTTTGCTCATCCTTGGTTAGGAGCAACAAATATATTGTGTCTAAAAGAGAAATAAACAAGCAATGGAAGAATATCTGTGTCTGCCTTAAATATAAAGCCGATAACGACTATCTGGCCAGTAGTGTCACACTGGTTGTAACAGCACTATTAATAGCTAAATGTATCATTTTTTGTTTTAAAACGGGTAAACAGTGGACTCAAGCGGTAAAAGAAGCACTAGAGGCCCACTATGCATTTATAGTAAAAAGTAACTGAATCGGCTTAGAAGTCCTGAAAACAGTCATATCTAGGCTTCCAAATTTGATTGAAAGAGATGCTCAATATCTGACATAATACCAACGAAATTACAAGTAAGTTCTATTATTTTTTTCCAACAAACGGCAGGAAAACACAATGATGTCATGAAAATGTAATAATGCTTATAGGTATTCTCATTTCTTTTTCAAACGAAGAGTGCAGCGAAGCGTATCATACACAAAAATTGCTATTATAATAATGCAGTTAGGATCGGTATATGAATACAAGCAATGTGTTGACTTAGCAATACAACAAACCAGAGTCAATAAAATCGTACATTTCAAACGAGAGAAGAGGGTTTGTGTTTATATTTCAACGGCACATGCTCATATTATAACGATTAATGGGTTTTAATTTCAAAATGAAAAGTATGGTTAACAGCAGCCATATCTCTCTTTAGAATGAAAATAAAGAGAATTTAATTTATCTCTCAAAACAAATTTGATCTTTTAAATGATGATGTTGCATATTTGATTGAAACAAAGCAAAGGAAGAAAACTAAAAAGGTAGTAAGCTACCATGCCGCGTTTCGACCTTGCTTAAGGATCTGTTCAGACTGCTCATAACAGTGATGACGATGGTGTTACTTACTTGTTGTTGATTCACAAGAAAATCTGTGTTTTAGTGGAGAACAGCAATGTATCACTAACTATAGAAGAGAATCAAAAGAAAAAATGGCACAGAAAGAAAGAAGAAAAACACTATGCATACGTGCTTGAACTTTTTGAAAATTTTGCCCGACCTGATATTCACTCGAGACTCGAATAATGATCCGTTACTCATGGTGTAGGGGAAAATAGTGAAGTTTATTTTCGCTTGTTATAGTAGAAATTATATATTCGCGCTTTCCTTCGGATTCAAGAAGAACCTTAAACTAGTTATATAGTTCCTGCTAGCTTGTCGAGCCGGTCGAAGAGTTATGAAATAAAATCCTGACGGGATTTTATTATATCAACACTAAAATGTTTACCTGACATAGCTCAAAATCAGGAATGTAGCTACGTCATTATGCTATAGAAATACATTTTTTTGTTCAATAACATATATTATGAACAGTGTAATGTAGTATATATGAGATCTCCTCTTGCGGCAATGTTTGCGAAAATCTTGATGTTGAATTTGGAAACAAAAGATATTTCCAGTTTTATAAATCATAACGCTAAATTAATAGTCTGGTAACGATATATGATGCTACTTTCACATTAGTGCCGGACAATGTAAGCATAAATAATTTATTAATGGAATTGAAACAGACTTCAGACTCTGAAGTCTTTCAGTTCCATTAATAAATTATTTCTTTATCGAATTGTTCATTTCTAAGCATGCACCGGTTATAACCGATAAATTTCACGTTTTTTCTGCAATGGATTGCATGAAAAGTATATGCATTAAAATGTTTCTGATAACTGGATTTTGTAAAGCAAACATTTTTCTACAAGATGGAGCTATGATGGAAGCCTTCATATTTTCTATTTCGGCTGCAGTCGCTTTTTTGACGAGGAGCCCTAAATTGTTTATTGCTGATCGTGGGTCTTTTAAGAAATCGTACTTAATCCAAGAAGGAGAGTACTCCCATAGCTCATCTTGTAGAAAACTGTTTTCTGTAAAAGATCCAGTTGTTCGAAAAATTTTAGTTGAAAAAAACTGTTTTCAAAAAGTGCACAGTTCCAATCGGTTATAGGCGATACATACTTATGCATTTGATATAACACCTCGTTCCAAACAGTGTCGCTCAAAAACCTCTCATCTTAGATGCTAGTTACATTCATTTGCTAGACCCTTTCTGCTTCTCATGTGACCATTAAATCACCCATTTTAGGGATCACGTCAAATCAAATTCCGGCCGGTTGTCATTCCGCTATTCTGTGAGTCCGCCAGTATTCCGCTACTCCACATAGTAGGCAACCAGGCGGACATAAAACGAAAGTGTTATTTCTCAAAGTTTAAACATTGGAATTATTAGTTCTATCTTTGATCTATCTTGTCCTGAAACAGCATTTTCAGAAATTAAGTTGAACGTTGGAAAAACACATACTAAGAAATTTGTTCAAAAATCGCTATCCTCAGATAAAGTTAATTTTTTGACCAACTTACTGGAATAGTTTAATTTGAAAAACTATCTGAAAAGAATTATTCATCTATGAGCTCCATTTTAATGAAGAGATCATTTCATTGAACTCAAATTGCTACAGCAAAAAAATCTACCAGGCTAAAATTGAGTATCAAAAATGCATCATTCTGTATTTTGTAAACGCTACAAACAGCTAAAGTCCAGTCGGGCTCAAACTTTCGCCAAATATTCCTCTATGTGTGCTCTACCATTGACCATAGCGCCAAATTAGCGCCAGTGATTCTGCATTGTGCTGGAAGTTTTCCAAAAAAACCATGGTCTTGGGAGTTCCAGCACTGACACTCGGTGACTATTGGTAGCGTTGAAAACGGATGGACTATAGGCAATCGATCATGCTGAGACTCGTGGCGATAATTGTTTTCAGAAAAAGTTCTAAAAAAATCTACCGAAAAGCGAGTTTTACAAAAATTTGCGTTTTCAGGCTGTTTTCAGCTAATATTAAAAAATTCACTAACCACTCAATAAACATCAGAACGAGTTCGAAATTTCAAGATATATTTAATTTCCTCTACTAAACGTGATTATACGATCTAAAAATCAGAAAAAGCATATTTTTGTTAAACCCTTTTGAAAAACCTTAGAGTTTTGTAACGTTTCTTTTGTGATCTTCTATAAACAGTATATAGAATAGCTTGAATACTCGACCTTCTGAAATTCTGAGCTAGTTCTGATCTTTTTTTAGTAAATTTTTTAATATTAGATGAAAACAGCCTGAAAACCCCAATTTTCGTAAAACTGGCTTTTCGGTAGATTTTTAAAATTTTTTCTAAAGACAAATATTGCCACAAGACTCAGCATGGTCGATTACCCATATCTCATTCGTCTTCGAGGCTATCAATAGTCACCGGGCTATCAGTTCATGAAAAGAAAGCAATACAATTCTATTGGAAAATTTTTACAAACGGCCTAGTTTTCCAAAGATCTCCTAGAAAGCCTGTTTCAGAAAACTCTTCTGAAAACAATTTTGGTTGTGAAAACATGTCTCCAGGTCTCCTCTTTTCAATGGCGAAAACCGAAGCTCTCTAGCTCTTTTCTATCAAAAGTTATTATTGAATTAATAGCACATGTCCGCCGCTCTAGTCCAAATTGCCCACTGTGTATAAGTAAGTACTTAACTTGTTCAAGGTTATTACCTGATCTAGCAGCGCCGAGGTTCGAACACAGTACGGTCGCAGTGCGTGACTAACAACATAACCACTAAGCCATACTATTCTTTACCATCGGGCGATGTGGTAATGCATACAAATGAAAAACAACTAACTATTTCATGTATCATTATCGAGAATTGGGTATTCTCTATGATCGATAACCTATGGAACTGTTCTTTTTATCCAAAAAATTGTCCTTTACGTAACATAATGCCTTCATATTTAAGAGCATATTTCGCAAATGTCAGATGTCAGGTTTCTCAGGTTCAACAATCTGTATTCATAACATAAAAGTTAAATAATATATATATTTTTTTAATATGAATATATTTACAACATTTTTTTTTCTTCAGTTCTTTGATTCCAAAGATCCTGCGCCAATATCGTGTGACAAAGATTTGTCGAGGATCCATTTTCGCTTTGATTTGGAGCCATCGACCCAACATTGGGTACACCTCATGTGCACGCTGTCCTCGAAAATCATCTGGCATCCATTTGGCCCAATGACAACGATATTTATATGGTTTTAACAGATCCCAAAATTATTGAAAGAAATCACGTGGATATATACGATTTCCAGCCAAATATATCCAGCCGAATCGAATACTATCTGTTTTATATGTAGGCTAAGCCAAAATTCATGTTTACGATGAGCATACATTTCTATAGGATTACTACTTGTTGCCTTAACACCATGTGTATTATAATAGTTTCGAAGAATATTTGCTATGGTTGTTGCGTTTTCAACAGGAAAATATAATTCTGATAACGCTACTGCAATTACCGTATAATCGAGGTGTTCGTCCTGCTGTAAAGCACGATAATAAATATCAAAAAAATGTTGAACACCAATTGGTTGAATTACATTAAGAACTTGAGCTGCAAATTTGTAATATTTGGGTGTATTTGCTGCTTGTTTGTCGAAGTCGAAGTAAGCGCTAGCTAATGCCGTTGAAACCGATGCTGTGTGTGTACCGTTAAATAAACGATATGGTTTAATTGGTGGTAACTTCGAAGTTTTCGTGTAACGTGAACATCACTACTTAAGTAATCTATTCAAGTTTTTTTGAGGAAACCATAATAATCGTGCATAATCTGGACCTTGTGTGAAGAAGTTTTGAAGACTATGATATGTTTTGTTGCCATTACCAAATACATCAACAGAACTTCCTTTTGTTATATCTGAAGAAGGATATCCGATGGGCGATATAATTTGTGTTCCTTTGACATAATACCTTGGGGTACTGCAGTTAAAGGTAACAGTTGATATTATACCAAACAGTCCAAAAGATATACCAGCAGCATAAAATTGATCGCTTGGTTTCCGAAAATCTCCTATATTACCCTTTCCATCAATCAATCTTATAGCAACGACGGCATCATACAGACTATACTTCATTGAACCTCCGTCAGCTCCCATTGCTATATAGTCACCAATTGTTTGCCGTTTAACACTAGTTAAACCTGGCAAAGCACATCCATGCGCATCAAGAATATATATCAGTGTTTCGTTTTCAATACGAAAACCCAGTTCGGGATTTAAACCAAGAAGTGTACCACTTTTGACAACGGCAAGTTTATTCTTTTTATCTACGACAACACCGCGATATTTTTCCAATGATATAAATACTACACTTCTTCCGCTTTCAACATCGTGTTCATCAAGTATACTTGGTTTATAAGAGTGTGCGGATCCCATAACCCGCACAAGTACTGATTTATTACTGGCATATGCACGTTTAACTATTGATTGCAGCTGCGATTCACTAACAGGATACTGGAGGGTACGGATCGGCTCACAAATGTTAGTGGTACCAACCATAAGCACCAGACACAAGAAGAATAGTGTATACGCACTTTTGTAATGTTCAGCTATAATCATGGTTCAGCGCTAGCAACGTTCTAATGCTAACAGTATTTTGCCGGCTAAAGTGAAGAACGTAATAACAAGCAGTGTTAATGACTCATCGAGAATGTTGCAGAGTGCGTCACCCTGAACGGCTAAGGAGTTATTACTATATGATAATAGAAGCATCGTAGGAGGATACTACCCCAAGTATACCCAAGCAAACATCACCTATGGGAAAAATCTAGACATTTTTCAACCACTTTTTCTCTTTCGGTGCTCCGTACAGGCTTAGCAGGCTGATCAGCTTACGTACGTTTAGGAGGAGTGATATGCAGTTACACTTTATAATAACTTATAAGTTAGATAAACAAAACGTAATTACGAAATGTACGTAATTGTGTTCTGGGGCTTTGTGACTTAGTTAGCACACCAGTGTTTTTACGACAAGATAGAATAACATGTCATTCTAGCTCATCTTTTGTTCTCATTCATTCTCACTTTTTAGTAATCAACCAATAAAGATGATAGAAACGATAGCACCAAAACAGATCAGGTTTCATCTTACCTTAACGTTTTCGTGCAAGACATAAAGATGATGACTTTTGTCTGAACTACTGTCGGCGCCAAAATATAGTGCGGCAGTAATTCGAAGCGTCTGCGAGCAGACTACTCCGAACACGACGTCTGGACTAGAATGTTACTGTGAGATACTACCATCTTAGACAGTCATTCCTCGCACCCCTTAGTACTGACTGGACTGTCCTGAAAAGTCATCGTAAAGAACTAAACCCATCAAACGAGGTGGTGCTCGCACCATAGGTGATACTATCGGTCATTTTCAACATTAAAATAGTAAAGTGTTAACGTCCAATGTCATGACTGTGTCATAGTATGCAAACTTTCCCTTTGCTGCAAAGTCATCTGAAACAGTATTCACAACATTTGCTGCAAAGTGAAAGATTGCAAACTGCAGAACTGGAAGAATCAAGGGAAAAGCAGGGATTCATAAATTTAGAGAATGCAGGAATTGAGCAAAGTAAGAAATCAAATAAGCAGGAATTCAAGATTTCAGGATTTCAGGATTTCAAGCAAAGAGAGCAGCAGGACGATGTTTAGCACACATCTCTTGTTGATGTTGGATTCACGCTGTTTTTGTTTAAGAGCTTCATGAGCCGTTGCCAGAGATGTCATAATCCTGCTACGTCACGGACATATTGGCAACGCTCCTAATACTGAGAGAATACTTACTGAAGAATACTTACTAAGTTCCTTGTTTCTAAGGCCTCCACACATAGCACAGTTGTGTGGAGGACTTAGGATACATAATTCAATTAGAACAGTCTCAAAGGAAATTGCTGGTGTTTTTTCCATTACATTTAGCATTTTTCTCCTATTTTTCCATCCTGTTGGAAGCAGAGCTGAAATCTATATCTGAGATAGGACATTGAAAAGAAAATGATGTATTTTTACCCAGAAGTTTGTTACATGTTCTTCGATGGTGTTTGGAAAACGTCAGTTTTCAAAAAAATAAGAATTTTCTTTCAAAAATCAGAGGTTTTTGGAAATTCTCTATATATAACAGTTTAAGATCCTTACTGAACGGCAATCCTCTTAATCTGGCTCTTCTCTCTCTTAATGTATCTCTTGAGAAGGACTCTTATAGACTTGTAGCCAGATCAGTGGTAGACTACATAATTGCTACGAAACGTTTTAAACTTTTAAACTAATCATCCAAAATTGTTGTGATCCCTACACTGTTGTTGCACTTTCGCTTGGCGTCTGTGCAGTGTTTTAAATTTTTAGTGTGCATCATTTTATTCTTCTTGTGATTCATCCTTACACTTTTTTCCTTCTTTCCCTCTTATTTTTATTTTTTTTCCTGCTGTTTATCTGTAATAGCTTATAACATTTACTATGTCATTTTCCTCTGATATAATGGCCTAGGCCGCATCTGTGTAAAGTGACTATTCTTATTTCTCTCTCTTGAATAATAAAGTTTAAACTAACTAAGTTTTGAGATTAGAGCATCTACAACAAACATGTGTATAGCCAGACACTTGTCGATATGAGAGAAGAAAACTCTACTTTCTTTACGCATTTGATAAAGAGACAATCATAAGGCTCAGGTTGGTCGAAATCATCCAGCCGATTTTGGCATGTTCTTAGATAAATACAAATCAATAAATCTTGTTAGAAAAAAGCAATAAAAGCGGCACAACATGTCAACATTGAGTTTTTCCTTTTATTCATTGGCTCGTCGGAAGCAGAAGAGACAAAGTAAACGGTTATTTCTGATAGCACAAGCACACATATACACATGTGACATTGTAATTCCTGTCGCTTTTCTCTCGGATAATGTCGATGTCCAGATTGGAATCACTTCCAAATGAGATACTCATCAATCTGCTGGAGAAATATGTCAATGGAGTCGATGTATCCATTACTTTTGGAAATCACTTGAATAGTCGCTTCGACGCACTCATTGATCAATGTCAACAACTTCATTTCAATTTTGAGAGTATTCGAAAGAATCACTTTAGTCTTTGTCTTGACCTTCTACCGGATTATCGTGACAGAATTGCAAGTTTAACTTTGTCCAAACGTGATACACCCGGTCAAATTCGTGCCTTTTTATCAACCTTTCTGACATTCGATCAATTCAAACAACTCCATCGACTTTGTTTGAATTTTGATGGCAATACTGTCGAGAAGATACCTATGAAAAACGCGATGCGATCTTTATTCAAAACGAATATTCACACATTATCGATCAAAGGAAAGAATGCACATGCCGTGTTTCAGTCCAATCATTTCATTCAAGCAATTTTCACTTTGACTACAGTGCGACAACTCTTTCTGGCTATTGACATTGATGCACACTATTGGAATTTTCAACGATTGAACTCATTCAATATTGTACATTTGACGATTGAAGGTTGTGGATGTACATGGGATAATTTGAAGAATATTTTCAGATGTGCTACTAGCCTTTCTTATTTGAAGGCTCGAGTAGTTCACAATATGTTGCATCCTTATCAATCCACAATCGTCGGAATATTCGTTATTCAACCATTAATAAAACTTAACACATTAATCTTGCAATTTGTCGATGATAATAATTTAATGACACTTCAGATGCTCGTTCCTTATCTTCATCTGCTGTCTCATTTACGTGGAAATAATCAATACACACGGTCGATTTCTTGATGCACACGCTTGGCAAATGTATCTTCAAACATCATTACTATTTTTAATTCGGTTCTCCCTGACAATAGATATTTCTTTACTACGACGAAACCATCTACACCACGCTCTAACATCTTTTCAAACTACATTTTGGATCGAAATGAAAATCTTTAACATCTACATAATAACATATGAATACGTCGATGATGACGACATCCTTTATTATCATCCAATTAACTCGCGATTTTACCTGACCGATCGCTCAAAAAGTGAGCGAAGACCTCATTCGTTTTGGGCGATTATTCCTCAACGCCGTGTAAATGACTGTCGTCTTCTTGTGGATAACCTAACTATTCTATATCTCTCGGGTAAATCTTCTATCTTTCCAATACAATACTATTTGAACAACGTCAAACATCTCACAGTGAATCATCTTAATTCGTCCTTGTTCGAATGGATTACAACGTATATTGAACTCTTAACTCTAATTGAACTGATGATTCCACACTTGGAAACGGAGACTGCTGAAATCAATTTACTACTTGCATGCGCCAAAAATATTTCTTCGCTTCAGATTCATTTCAATTAATTGTTCGGTGAACATTCTGCTCCTATAGGCGAATACAACTCCATTAGACGACTGGATATTTCTGTCGCTGAACATCCATTTCGACAAGAAGATATTCTTGTTCTTGTAAGACTCTTTCCATCTATTCAACACGTGAAAATCAATACGATCAATCTTGACAATGTAGCATTGTTGAACGCCTATTTACCGATGCTCATAGTTTGACTTTTAAACTTGTTTATTCTCACCTTGAAAAATTCAGATACTATCAATCGCGAAGTCAGAGACAGTTTCTGTTCAAACGCTTGGACGAATGGATTACAATCTGAGTTGATCAAGCTACTTTTCAAGAGCGTTTCTGGTAGTTTTTTCGAATGACTCATCATCAGTTAAATCGTGAAAGACCATCAAAGTCTCACAAAATCAAACGTGTCTGTCCTTGAATAATTGTGTACACAGCTAATCTGGATTTTTTTCGAATGCAAGTCGAAACGAAATGTGGACATCGATATCTCAGCCTCAGACGGTTATTTCGATGTAAATGCGATCATGTATCACTAAGGTCTATCGGTGGTTGACATCTCAGCTTGATTAGTTGAAATTGATTTTTCGCCTCTATTTTATGCTAAAATATGGCTTATAAACGAAAAAACGAATTTCAACTGATCAAGCTGAAGGTCTCCGAGCAACTATATATCTTTTCTCTCGAACTGGGGTTAAAATTTCGCGTTTGCTAGTTGTCCATAGGCTATTTCCGGAAGACACTATGGAAAAAAATTTCTCTGCGTGTCCGGTTTTAAATCATGGTAGGAGTCTACCGTGAAACTTTCAGCTCGTTAAACAACCCGAGAGAAAAGTTGATTATTTTTTAATGTATGATTTCCGCCTGTTTTCAGTGCTTCAAAAACGCTTCGACTTCCTGCAGCTAAAAGCTCTTGAATAGGACGATGTTATAAGATGCGTTTTCCATCGTAAACGCGACGACGAGGTTTCTGGAGGCCCCTTTGAACTTGGTTTCATAATTTTTCCCCATCAAACTATTGAGACGGTTTTTATGGAACACCAGCTACCTCCCCATGCGCTTATCCAGCACTAG